GATTAGTTTTCAATATTCAAGATCATCACCTACCCAAGCATGTCCCCAGTGTTGCAACACTCTGAAATTAAGTTTTCCAGTTTAGTATTACTCTTCATTAGGCCTTCAAATGACTTCTGATGAGAGAAAACCCAGTCTTCAACAAAGTTGCTCATTAAAGAATTACTTATAATGAGAAAGCAAAATAAAACAAACAACAAGAACAAGGTTTCATTACGTAGTCCAGACTGGCCTCAAATTTTCAATCCTCCCACTTCAGCCTACAGTTCTGGGATTATAGGCATGTGCCTCTATTCCTGCCTCCCAGGTGAGTATTTTTAATTCTTAATAAGTAGAATTTGGGTTAAATAATGAAGCTAGTTCTCATTTCAGGTTCTCAGCACCATATATAGAACATCTTTAAAATTATTTTTTAATCATTCAAGCAATATAACTATTTGACTCTGAATAAAAATCGTTTATGAACCCAAATTTGCAATTTTTAGCAGTCTTTCCCTCCAAAAAGTAAATGAGTCTTGAAATGCAATGGAAACAGGGACACAGGATTCTGTGTAGTTTTCAGCAGACAAATTATATTGCTATCAAAAAGAGCTAAGGATCTTGTCAAATTGTTTCATTGCTACTTTAATAACAATAATTACAAAAGCAAATCCTGACACTGTATATAAAATTCTACCTATATATTGATTCCACAGTCCAAAAGAGGAAAAAGGCAAAAGCCACAAAGTAAAACTTAGCTTGCTCCAATATTTTAGATAAAGATGAAGAATAAGTAGAGAAGAAAGCAAGCTCTCCTTCTGTACATTCTATGAAAAACAATACATCAAATCCTAGAGCCTCAGATAGTGTCTGTATATCTAGCTCCAACCACTTGTATATTATGGGTATATTACTTACTCCTGCACCCCCTTTGCACAGATTGTTTTGCAGATAAAATGAGCTATGCATGTAGTATTTTTTTAAGTTCCTTAAAAGGAACTCATATTTTCATTGTTACTGCAACCACATGCTAACTTAAGGAGTTGAATCTTGCACAAGAGAGTCCCTTTGGATCCTCAGCACTTGACAGTGACTCTGATAATTCCACAGAGGAATGAAAGTGGTTTAAATTCTCCTTCAACTTGTAGGCAGTTGAGAAGGAGGGCAAAGTCAAACCCTGGAACTACTGACCCCAGATTCGGTCATTCACCACTAACTAAATCTGTTTTTCTGCTGCCTATTTCCTATTGACAAAATGTCTTTCCATGTAGAGACAAAAGTGTTATTCATGCTGAATATTTATGAGTGCCAACAAAGTTAAGAAAAATGAAATACTCAGAGGAAACTTTAAAATAAAACCAGCTCATGAAAGTTCAGCACTAACAGCTACTAGTCCCTTAAGAATGAATTCGTCTTTAAAAAAACACTAAGTTTATATCTGCCTAGAGATGACATTCTGGGAGAGTGATGTTGACCAAAGCTGGAGTGGGAGCTGTGGCTACAAATGCTGAGTGAAGGCTACCAAGAACATAGCAGATAAATCTATAAACATGCTACAAGGACACTCTCAAGCTGGTGTCACAGAACTTAAATATACTGTCATATTTTTAAGCAGCAAAGACATGATGTAACCAAATTACAACTGAACAGGAAAAATTGGTGGAGTGGTTTTCTGTAAATAGTATCTTGGAGCAAGAACTACTGTTACAATTACTAGTATGTGAGCCCTTTTGAATTCTTTATTCACAACATGTATACCACTACTTGTAGCTTACCCTAAATCTAGATGAGGAATAACAAATAGGTTTTGTTTTATGTGCAAATTTCACTTCAGCAATAGAGGCTGTGTTAGGAAGGACTATTGAGGTTATATAGAAAGGAGTAAAGGCAAATCCCACCCTGTATGAAGGACAAGGGGCGTGAAGCTCCAGAAAGATGCATCTGCAGCTAGAATGGTTCTCAACTGTGGTCAGCTTAGCTCCTCGAAGGAGAACCTGGCAATGTCTATAGACATTTCTAAATGTCTCAACCCAAATTGAGGGCACTACTACTGTTGGTGGCCAGGGATGATGTCAAACAGTCTATAGCCTTTCCTTGCCCCAAACATCTGGGCCAGAATATCAATAATCCTAAAAACATGAATCATAGTCTAGCCTTATCTACCCTATAGTTAGTACATGGATCCAGGTTTTTAGTCAAACCATGTGTTTTTCTTCAGGCAGTTTTCCTAACATACCTCTCCTAGTGCCACAGCAGTTCTAGGTCACATGATCAATGTGGTACACCTAACTCATTTACACAGATCACATGTCTCTCCCTAACTCAGTCTGTGATCTTGAACATACATTTCATTCCTTAAAGTTTTGGTTTCTTCATCTATAAGAGGGAATACCAGACAAAGAACAAAACTTCCAGGAAATCTGTAAATAGACTAAAAGGATGAAATCTCACGTTCATAATAAAAGCAATACCAGTTGTAGGAAATATTGAATAAGGTATCAATGAGATATGGATATCCCACTCAACAAAGTATTTCTTTAGTTTGACAAATGTTAATCTGCCAGCTTAGAGCTTCTAGTTGTGCCTGAAATTAAAATTGTATAATACTTAATTGTTTTCCATCGGTGCCCTTGTCTTTAGGTTAAGTTGCTTTGGAATCTCTCACAGTATCTTTAACTCCTAGATCATCTCCATTACACAGTCTGCTCTTGGCTTCTTCCAACCATCTACAGTAAGCGCGTGCGTGCGTGCGTGCGTGCGTGCGTGCGTGCGTGTGTGTGTGTGTGTGTGTGTGTGTGTGTGTGTTTTAATCTTTAAGTAGTTGTACAAAGAAGTTGCCATTTAGCAAAGCAGTTATGAATACAATATATCTTGATCAGTGTCACCCCTTTCAACATCTCACCCATCCTTCCCCAACCTACCCCTTCCCTCTGTCATCTCTTGAATTATTCAAACTACTAGGACTCATTACATATAATTACTTTCTGGCCTTGTAAATCTGTATCATCAAGCAGTTAATACACTCAAATATTTCAGGTTTTCTGTGTGTCCATGACAAAGACTAAAAGTAGGAATTAGAGGCTGAAGCTAAGAAGTGATGGTACCAAAAAAAAAGTAAAATAATTTAAAGCTACAAAATACTTGCAGTTTTTAAGAGAATGAAGTACATGAAACGGTTAGAACATGTTACACTAACTAGGTATAGTATAAAATTGTCATCATGAGAGTAAGAATGTCTACCATCCACAGATGAAAGATGACTCAGAAACTCATTTTTTTTAAATGTTAGGAAAAAACATCATGTACATCAGATGCAGGATTGTTGAGGTCATGCCAATGACGTCAAAGGTTTGTTTACCTTTAAAGGTATATTAGACAGATACATAAAACAGCCAGAGTACACAGAAAAAAGTGACTTAAAGTCATACATTAAGTTAGATCACATCTATCAAAATAAAGATCCTATGGACCACTCTGAAAGAAGTATGTTGATACAGGAATTAAGGGCAGAAAACTAGATCATCCTGAGAAATTAAGGGCAGCAAACTAGATCATCCTGATAGTTCATATAAGTCTCAAGCATATATACCCAGGAGCTTTCTAAAACAGCATGTATGTATTTACTCTTAGAAATCAGTTTCTAAATATTAGGAATATGACCTGAACCTAAATCTTTTAGCTCAAATGGTACAACCTACATATTTTTCTAAATCCTAATAAATTTATTTTTACTCATGGTTCTTTGGCAATAGTAAAGCCAGTGCATAGTTGTCTAGTACCAGTACAAGTACCAAACATTACCTACTAAGACTACATTTTTAACAAGTGAGTTTCTCTATTACTAAACAATTTTATGCTTAAATGAAGAATAAATTATTTAAATCATGTAAGTGACTTAAATGAATAAATCAATATCTCTCTATAACATTTTTTCCAAGAGAATAACCTTTCTGACACACACACGCACACACACACACATACACACATGCACACACAATGCTGTTGTATTTTAAAACAAATTGGCTCTTTATGGGTTATTTTTGCAATACCAAGCTTCCTGGGGTCACATCTGAGGGGTTTCAGATTTGATCTTCCCTTCAGGTACACTTACTTTACCTATCATTAGTATTTAATTTCTTTAATTGTTTAGAAGCTCCATGGAACTTAACAACTGCATCTTTTAAATGAAGATAATGTTAATGTAATCTAACACAGAGTAATATGGGGGAAAATGCTCAGAAAGTCATACCATTATTCAAATTCATCACATTTCACTTATTTTTGGCATACTGGCAAATAGGTAATAGATAGAAAAGGAACAGGCTTTAAATTGAAAGAATCTGTTAAAGGTTATTTATATAAAAGTTTCCTGTTTTTTAAAAAAATGTAAAAGCATAACTTCTCCCTTCTGAAATACATAAGATGATTTTTTTAACAACATTCTCAGCTGAGTCCAGTGACAGTGATGCAAAACTAATCCTGTCTCTTTTTATACGTGTGTGTGTGTGTGTGTGTGTGTGTGTGTGTGTTGGCTCTTAAACACAAGAGTCTGGGCAGTCTACCACTTAAGCCACAGTTCTACTTTTTAGCTTTTTGGTGGTTAATTGGATATAAGTCTCAAGAACTTTCTTACCAGGCTGACTTGGAACCACAGTTATCAGATCTCAGCTCCTGAATAGCTAGGATTACAGGTGTGAGACAGTAGGGCCCAGCTTTATATGCACCCCTAATTCATCAAATACTTAAGCAAAAAGGACTTAGAACAACAGAGATGAAAAGTAAAATGAATAAAGAAAAATAAAGTGCAAGTCTCTCAGTCATAACTTGTTAATATGAACTACAAAAGAAAAATTTTTCAATCTGTAAAATGATCAGAAGCAATATTAGTAACATGATTTTCTAAGATACTAAAAGCAAATATCTCTTGCAGTAATTTTTTAATATTGTTATTTGGATTCACTAAAAGGTAACTTAGATGAAAATTAAGTATGGACTTAACAATACCATCGTTAACAACATACCTTATATTGTTTTCCATGTATTCACTATCTGATTCTGCAGAACTTCTGTACTTATCTGGATCTGGAAGGGTGCTTGGATCAAATCCAACATCATCATCATCACTCCAATCCAGAAAGGCTTCTTCTTCTTCATCTTTAGCCTTAGAAAATACAAAGAAATTTGTGAGTTTGAATAGTTGTTTTATTAGAGACATAAAAGTCTGATATTCTCAATTAGAATACTTATATTTTGGTGAAGACCTCTGTGACTTTTAGAATTACAAGCATTTGCAAAAGGAAAGAAATATGTATCATTTCAAAAAGTAAAATAAGGTAAGATTCAGAAAAGAAATCTCTGGTTTTATGATCACAGTAGTCTAAATCTTTAAAAAAAAAAAAAGAGGGAGAGGAAGAGAGAGAGAGATCTGCAACAAGCTTATCCACTATGAGCAATCTTCTGAAATCAAATGCAAATACAAAGTCAAGAAGAACCCTGGGAAAAAGGAAAAACAAAGAAAATAGACAACAAATAAAAACAAATAGAAAACAAAGGAAATAGAAGTAATAATGCATGGAAGAGAGGTGCATAAAGGCAGGATCTATCTAGTTTCATGTAAGTTAAGTAGATGGGCTACTTTATGTTTCTGTTCTTTAGTAGTTTACTTTTGACAAAGAATAAAGTAATAAAACAGCAAATACTACACATCATGTTATAAATCACTTACTGGAAGATTAGTTTTGCTGCCTAGTAGATGAACTCAAGTAATGCTACACACATTTAACAAATCTAAGTAAGAAATATAAAAATCTGGGTTTTTCTGGTACCATTTTTATGATTCTTCTCCCAACCAAGTGCAAAGTACTTCAATGATTCTTTGATTTCAGATGATGAATGCTCTTCCTAGAAACTGATTCACAACTCAGAAAACTAGCACAGCCATCAACTACACAGGTCACTACTAAAACAGTTTTTGAACAGCTCTCTACAGTTAAACTCTAAGCATAATAAAAGAAGGAGGAAGTAAAGAAGCATTAGTCACCACCAGAAAAAAAATCTCCACTGCCTTCCTGAGAAAGCTTCTAGGTAACTACACATTGTCTAGAAACACAGAAGAGGAAGGATGAAAAACTGCCATCAGCAGCAACACAAAGCCGGGGTGAAGTGATTCTCACATTTCTGTCTTGGATGGAAAAGTCCAAACAACATTTGTTAATGTAAAGAGAGTCTACTGACAGGAAATAGTAAAACAAATCATATTAAAACAAAGAATTTTTTAAAATAGAACTTGTAAATTTATTTAACAATAACCTCACTATATGTTAACATATAAAACATTTTGTTGAAAAAAATAGCTATCCATGCTAAAACTACAGAAAGATATTGTATATTATTCCAAGTGTTAAATGTCTATCTTAAAAGACAGATAGCTAAACTCTCAAATCTGCTTCTGCATGCCATCTGCTGCAATTGATTGTTCTGCTTGAAAAAAAGAAAATCTAGCCCCTCACAGTAAGTAGTTGAGAAAGGGCAAAATTACTATACAGCCTTTTCAGGTAACTGTAGTTATTCTTTTTTGATATCCCAACAAACCCTGAGTAATAGTAAGTTCTTAAAGTTACTGCAACATACAATCTAATAGCACATGGATGGATTTTTAATACTTTTGTTACATTAAAATTTGTTAGTTGTGCAAGTCTTTAATCAGTGAATGATTCTGAAACATAAGGCTACATACAGTCACTTGGGAAACTCTGGGTGGAATAAGGCAGATTCTCCTTCTATGATCTTCATCATATTAACACATCTTTTTGAAAATCTTAATGGTTAATACTGCATAAAGGCACCAAAAAGACTTTTAACTAAGCTTTTGGTAACTGTAAGTAGAATATAAAAAATAGAAAAATATATAAATAAATATAAAAGAATATAAATATAAAATATAAATAGAATATAAACTGCATAGTACTAATTTATATACTTTCATTCTTCAACATCTGGTTAGACTGAATTTAGCACACCTCTAAGATATATTCAGCTGAATTGCATTTGATTGCTCTATATCTTATCGAGGATTCTAGACTACAATTATGGAGAAGCAGCTCAAAAAAACAAAATCTGTTCTTCCTAATACTCAACACTATTTGCGTGTGTATATACATGCACATACTTATATATGCATATATACATATATATAATGTATGTGTACATATACATCTGTGTTTCTGATATACAAATATATTTCAGATAGGCAACATATTGCAGTTTTGGCTGGAATCCAAGAAAGTAAGAGGAAATGCAGAATGATGAAATCCATACCCAAGGGGAGGAAGCAGGAAAATCCATACTAAGGCCCCCTACTTACAGAATTAGTCCTTCAAAGCTAGTAGTGCTTACCCAAATTCTTCTCTGAACATTCTAAAACAATGAAAGCATTTGATTGAAAGAACAAGAAAAGCTATATAAATAATACATGCTGTGAATGTAGTTAAGAGCAATAGGCAAAGGGCTAGCACATGAATATTCAAAGCATCAAAGAACAAATTCCACATTTGGAAGGATCTTAACCATTTAGAATATTAATCTGACAACTGTTTAATGCACTCTGACTTTGGCCTAAAGAATGGAATCTGAAACACAACATGCCAGTGAAGGACTCTGTCTGATTCAGCATTTTAATCTTAAGATTTTGAGCCAAATGAAATTTCTCCTAAGACCACCTTGCATAAAATTCATTGTCCTTCCTAAATTGTTCATTTACTTCCTTATTTAAAAATAGAAATATCTAACTGAGCTCTACAGGATATTGATAATACTAGAATTTTCTAGCAAGCTATTAAGTAATGGTACATCCCTTTACTAGTCATCATTGGTTTGCATCGTCTTCTCAGGTACATGAACTTAGAAACTAAAAGAATTATAAAAATACAGGTCCAAGTTGGGCTCCAGAAAGGTCTGTAATCCTAGTGAAAAAATCTGAGGACAGTGGTTCGAAGACAGCCCAGGCAGAAAAGTCTGCGAGACTTATCTCCAATTAACCACCAAAAGGCTGGAAATAGAGGTGTAGCTCAAGTGGCAGAGCACTAGCCTTAAGCAGGAAAAGGCTCAGGGACAGCTTCGGCTTCATCTCTATAATATGAACACTGATTTCTACTGTTCAAGGTTGTTGAAAATTTTCAGTTTGGTAACCTTGTAGTTCTCAAGGATCCTTCTGCCTTTCTAAATCTAACTGTAATGTAAGCTTGAACATGAAACAAATGTAAATCTTCTCAGAAAGCAGCATATGTGTATTAGAAAAATACAAAATATTATACACAAAAAGAATATGATTAAAATATAGAAGTAATTTCACAAAGGTTTAAAGGTTAAAAGAATATACCAAAGTACTTGAGAAAGATAGATAAAAAATACTTTTAAACCAGATCCTAAATATTTAGTTTCATAACTGGAATATTACTCAACAATGAAAAGGACTGATCTATGTAAGAATATGGATGGATCTACATCCATTCACCTTGCTAAATGAGAGAAGCCAGACCCAAAAGGCTACATATTGTATGTCACTTTACATGAAATTCTGGAAAAGGGAAAGTTTTAAGGACAGGAAACAGACCAGTAGTGCTAGGCAGCAAGACAGTAATATTCGAGAGAATGGAGTTATTCTGTATTTTTGGCTGCAGTAGATACATGACTCTATGTATGTGTCAAAACCACAAAAAAGCCAAGTATACAATATGTAAGTTTAAAAGTAAAAGATCTGAAAAGAATATCTTAATGTCATTTTAAAGTATCCACAATTAATTAGTAATTATAAACAACAAACTATAAAATGTATAGACTATGTTCTTCAACCCGTGAAACAACACAAAAGACAGGTGGCATTCACCCACACCTACATGAGGGAAGAGGACCGCCATGACTTTCAATAGGTTACCTGCAGTCTCCCACTACCCAGTCAAGGACTACTGATTGTACAACTGGATTTCTTAGAGCTAAACTAGTATTAAGAGCACATGTTTCTAATTCACAGTTCTGAGGTTTGAGGAGATCATCTCTGAAAGCCTCACACAGGACTTAGGTTGTACCTGCCTAGTGACACATGCCATTTCTCTCAATTGTTTCAGGATGCTGAGATGCACAAACATAGGAATAAAATCCTGAAAGTAGTATTTCGAAGGGTAAGAATTCCTAGCATTTCAATAATTCATAAAGTAGTCATGGAATGAGTAAAATTATGTATCTCTGATACGTGGTTATATTTTCTATCCTGGTCACAACTGTTATATCTTAGGGGGAGAAGAAAAACCATTATGGAGTTAGTTGAGATCTAGCTTTGGAGTGGTAATAAAACACTGACAAGATGGATTGTTAGTCACCTCCATGTTTGGTTTTACAACTTTTTTTATGGTTTGTTCTACCAATTCATTATTTCTCCAGGTAGGAGCCCAAGACCAATCTCTCTCAGCTACTGAAACTGGCTCTTGTTTGGTAAAATAAACAAATAGCAATTTAAAATCAGAAATGAACTCAGGCTTTGACAAATGCATACAAATTAATCTAGTAAAATGTGAAAAGCCATTAACTATGTGGATACAAAAAGACAGAAACATCAAATAAAGGAAAAATATTCCTACATGTTAAATTTATCTTCCAAAGAAATATGCCATATCAGTATCACTGAATTTCAAATATCACTGACTGAACATTTCAAACCAAAAAAAAAAAAAAAACGTTTTAGACAGACCTTATTTCTCCAGGGAACACCCTGATCTTACAGCGAGCTCCTGAGCAGGATTACTTCTAGCTGGCTAGTTTTAAATAAATTATCCTTTCATTTTTTTAACTAATAATTTTCTTCTTATTCCTGACCATCCTTTTGCTCAACAATGGCTGAAGAAAATTGGGAGAGGACAAAGTACTTCCAAAGTAAGACTTTACCTGCAGAAAGCAAGAATCAGTTCTTCACAAAGTTCATCATAGTCATCATACAACCCAGAGATGACAATACAAATTATATGTCCAAGAGAAGTGAAAACATACCCACAGAAAAGTATGCCTATAAAAAGCAGACTTTATATTAGCCAAAAGTTAAGAGGAAAAAAACTCAAATGCCCTACCAATAAGCACACAAATAAAATATGGGATATCCATACATTGGAGTAT